AATAGCCCTTCATTAAAGGATCCGAATGCTTTGGATGCGCTTGAATGATCCTGAGAGGTGACCGAGTCTTTTTTAAATAGAAGAGCCACTCTTTTGTACCTTTCTTTTATTACGGATTTTGTGAACATGTCTGTTCCTAGTTGGCCTGTTTTAGTTTGTTTTGGGGAATGTTTTTATTGCGTTGGAAGATTCTAATGCCAGTTAAATATGTAAGAGAAATCCAAATAACTTTTGATTGCAGCTATAATATTACACAAATGATTTTTATCATTTGATTGGATAATTTATAATATAAAATGGAGAAGCGAGAAGAAGAGAAGAGAGCACTGAGCTGACGGAAATGCTGACTTTCTTTCATCCTCATGCTGGAGTTTTTGTTTTGGGTCCTTTTTCGTTGGTAGAACGCACACTTTTCGGTGGGATTTGCAGGGTTTTTTTCTTGAGGACTTGTGTCTCTAGGCATGTTATTGGTTGTTTCAACACAGAGATGACAACGTGGCAGGGTTTTCCCTTTTTGTGTCTTCTGCTGGTCATTTCAATTGGAATTGGAGTGTGAATTCATGGCAACTGGTTTCTGGCTCACTTTTCAAATAACTAACATGAGACCAACCTGTGCAGGTAAATGTTTAACAATTAACTGACTCTTGGGGTTTGGACCAGGAATTCTCTCACGATGTTTCCTGATTTCCTTGGTATAAATATTCCCACCATGGCTGATTACAAACTATCAACGTGATGTTACTGAACACAGAATTGGAATGAAATGCACAGTAGCAAACTGTTTTATAATCTGTCCACCGGACCAAAAAAAAGAAAAAGAAAAAAAAAAACTAGCACTAGAGCATAGATAATAGTAAAATAATTCTGAAGTGATGATGATTTTTTAAAAATATTAGTTATTGAATGGTTAGTTTTTGTAGTTTAATTTTTAATTAATTAATTAATTAATTTAATAGAAGAAATGATTTAAATCATGCCCTCCTCCCCGGTCTACCATCTCCCTTCCCTCTCTCCCCTACTCTCTGATATATAGTTTAATTTTGACAGTAGCCGTGTCAGATAGCTGGTTCTCAGAATTCCTGGAAATCTAATCACTGGTTCTCACACACTGACTGGGACCTAGAGAAATCTCTTTCTTGCCCCACGTCCCCTGAATGGGTCATGGCAGAACCTGAAGTAGTCTGGTCTGTCTCTAAAAACCAAATTTCTCTAGAAAGGTTTACTTATTAATGTTTCTGTTATTTATTTTATGACATCTTCCAATGATCTATGAAAGCGTCAAGGACCATTACAGGCTGTTATTATCTATTACTTCAATAACAGTCTGAATATCTGAATGTGAATGTAACCAAAGATGAGAGAGTGAAAAGCAGATTGGATTTAGAGCCATAAACAAATCCTGGCTTTGAGGCTGGCTTGGCCTTCATGCTCGCCAGTGTTTTATCAGTGCCATAGTGGTCATTCCCCTTGAGCTTCTTGAGAACCTAATTTCGATTTCTAAATTCATTTTGTTCTTTATTATAGTCAATAATAGGCAAGGACATTTTTTCACTCCATACTGCATTTGGATGGACTTGTTTACATTCAAGTCACTTAAATAAGTCACTTACTTACCTCTTCGGCTTCAGTTTTCTAGTCCGTAAGATAAAAGAATTGGGCCAAACGAACATCTATTATCTCTTGTAGGTCTAAAATATCTTGATTCATTATTCGGATCCATCAGTTCAACAAATATTTGCTTAGTACCAATTATATGCACATTTGCTATGGATTCTACTCCAGGCAGAATTAAATACAAATGTAATAACAATAATTATTATTGTAACATCTCACAGTTATACAGAGCCCTTCTAATTTACCGAAGAAAAAATGTACTTTGAGTCTCTGAGGTTCTATAGCTTTAGGAGATCAAGACACATTTTCACAGAATGTTAGAGAAGGAAGGACCTATTCTAAAAGAACAAGCGGAACCTTACTCCTAGGAAACGCAAGAGGTCATAACCAGGTAGTCATGAGGAATAAGAAACAAGCATTTTTTTTCCATGTCTATCAGTTGCTTCACTTTATCTTAAAAAACAAAACCAAAAATTATTTTTTTCTGATTATAAGATTAATTATTGTAGAAAATTTAGAAATTCTTAACAAGTATTAAACAAGGAGAAAATACCATATATCCAATTTAATAGCTTGCTTTTCTTTACCTAATATTTTAGTATATTTTCCAAAACATTATCAGTAGTCATATTAATTGCTATATATAATTTCATCTTTTTGATGTACAATAACTTACTGATCTTAAGTTGTTTACACTGTTGACTTTTATTATTCTACAGAACACTGTGATAAATAACTTTATTTATATAAATAATTGTACATTGGACATAGTTTCCAACTGTAATATTTAAGGTTTAATAAGATAGGTTTAACAAATCATATACTTTTGACCTTTAGCTTATTTGATTCTGCCAATGTTGCTATGTATTTGCCTAGATTTTATTCTGTTTCTAAACATTTATTAAGAGGAACAGTGCCTGAATCCTTCAATATAATATATTTGAACTGGAAATAGCACCAATGTTTTCATATTATTTCAAACAGACATATGACAGTGTATGGTTAACAATTTTTTCTTTCACTTTCTATGGGCAGTAGTTTCTGGTACACGGTTTATTAGTTTAGAAAATACTCAATAAATGTTCAATAAATAAAAAAGATTCAGGCTGATCTTAGAGTAAGCAAAACCATTTGAGAAGGATGTTAAGTAAAAACCACTTCCATTCAGGATAATAGCTTTCATTTCATTAGGAGAGATGACAGCTAAGCACAATTCAGGAATTCTGACTTAAATGAGAAGTGTGAAATGAAAAACGTTGTTGCTTTAATTTACCTATGTGGGAAACCAGGACTCTAATAGTTATTTGATTAAATGTTAATGAGATCTACTAAATTGAACCAACTCTCACTTTTAAAAATTAGATATGTCAGTTAAAATAAGACCAGCTTTACCTCTTACTTTAACATCTTTGAGTCAACATCCGCTTACAAGTGAAGAGCTTTACTACCCTGGTTATTTAAATTTAATGACATCCATTAAAGGGGGCTGGAGGTTTGCAACACGAAGTTTGAGAAATTAGATGGTGTGATTATTTTCTTGTTTCTGCCCCCTGGGGGCGGGGGAGGGGAACCTTACTGGCAGAACTTCTTCTAGTGTATTTTTAATACCACAGATTTTTTTCCCCCTGAACCAGAGAGTAAGATTGTTGATTTCAAGCATTCCTTGAAAGTAACTGTTATTAAAATATCAGCGTAACAAGTTCACATAATTTAAAAAATGTTTTATCAGTGACATAGTGGTCATGACCCTTGAGTTTCTTGGGAACCTAATTTCGATTTCTAAATTCATTTTGTTCTTTATTATAGTCAGTAATAGGCAAGGACGTTTTTTCACTAAATACTGCATTTGGTTGGGCTTGTTTACATTCAGTATGGCGAATTCTATTACGTTAACCAAGAGAGACTTTTCAAGGATTATATATTCAAACCAATTATAATTATAAACTTTTATCTTATTGGAGAAATGTGACTGAAAAGCTTTTTAAATTTGCTACAACCAACATTTTCATATTATGCCAAATTGGGTTGTGATAAGCATGTGGTTAGTAGATTTTTATACATTTTGTGTTTTTAAGATCTTTTAATGGCTTGGTATTTCAAAGCACCGAACAGTCACAAGCCGGCATTATATTTTCATAATTATTTATTTGTTTTTGCATCCAGAAATCTGAGTGAGCAGTGTATTTATTCATTTCACGTATTTCACGTAGACTTTAGAGCCATGAGTTTGGATCATGCTCAGACAGCAGCAGTGTGGAATAATTGTAGGCATCCTAATACTTAGCAGGGTGCTAATACTTTAAGAGTGCTAAAAAGCTTAGTGATGAAGATAAATAACACTTTAATATACTATTTGGGGAAAAAAATCATAATTAACCCCCCCCCCATCTATGATGAACAAAATGTCAAAATTTTATAAAAAAGGTGAGATCCGACCCTGCACCTCTACCTGACTCACCCTCCCCTAGCCCTGACCTTGGTCGAGTTCTAGTTCTGCTTTCTCCACTTTTCTGTCCTTGGATAAGGTACTCCTTTGAGTCAAGTTTTCCTTATCAAACACCTGTGATAATAATCCTGGCTTTTCTGGTTGAGTTATTAAGAGATTCGCATCAGCTAAAAATACAAGGGAAAGCCCATTGTAAATACAATTTACATGTTTATTTACAAGTTAGGGGAATCACCATACAGATTTTAAGCCATTATTATGAGCCCAGATGAATACTCTAAGTGAACATCAGATTTGAAGATCCTTGGAAAGCTTTGTGTTAATAAAGTTTGAGATCTAACTCTTAAGTTTATTTGTCAAGCAGATCTAGGAGGAGGGATCTAGAGATAACTGAAGGACTCTCCCTCTCTCTCCTTTCTTTTTTGTTCTTGGATGCAAATTCTACTGATTTCATTAGGAGCTAGCAGAGGGAACCAGAAATTCATTTTGTTTGTTTTAAATTTCCCTGCGAAGTGCCCATGAACAACTGAGGTCTCGCCTTTGCTCCAGCCATTCCACCCACCAGTGGCGCCTTCCCCATTTCTCCTGTCTGTCCGAGTTCCATCACCTTTTATTCACATCTGACCTTGGTAAGGCCTTCCTGAAGAGCTTCTCTCGGCCGGAAATGGGCTCTCCATCCTCTGCCCTCTTGGAGTGGATAAACTGCCTCTACCGCTCATTGGTGATCAGTTACAGAGCCATTGTTGTCTTGAGGCTTTAACTAATTCTGCATTGAATGTAGACTGTTAATTTCAGAGTGAGCAGGGTTTGGGTCTGTTTTAGCAAAGGGCCTTTATACACTTCTTTTTTTGACTGAATAAATGAATGTCTTGCATGTAAAAGGGCAAATGGTTACTCTTCTGATTCATTTGTGGAATTTTATTGTCTAGGCCTAGAGAAAATGATTGGTGCCATGTGGAAGGCAACTGTATTGTTGGTCCTTTTGATGCTCAGCTCCGGTGGTGATGGGCTCTTTCGCACCCTCTACAAAAGTGTCCAGGCGTCCAGGCCACATAAGGGAAACGTAGGACGGCCATTATTTCTTACTCCTTATATTAAAGCTGGGAAACTCAAAGAAGGTAAGTGTAATCAGAAAACCACTGGTATACTTTCAACACTTTTTCTTTTTTTTTTAAAGCAATTACCTTGTAGGATTCCAAGTATATTCTGGTATTTTTACTCACTTGTTTTATTTCAAATACTAGTGATTTGATGTTGTATATTTTCAAAGTTATGAGCTAAAATGAGAGCTCATCAGGATGAGTTTGTCTAATAGTCAAGTCCCTGTACTTCTATTTATAAAATTAGTACAGTGCCTGTCTACCACTGGGCACTTAATAAGGTTAATACTAACCTTAGAATGTACTATGTGTCAATTACTGGTTCCAAGTATTCTACATAAACTCATTTAAGCATCTCAACGACCCAGGCAGGCATACTCATTTTTACATACAAGAAACTAAGCAAAAGAGAGATTGTTACTTATCAGAGTCCCACAGACACCAGCTTATAGATGCAGAATTCACACCCAGACTGCCTCACTGCAGAAGCTATGCTCACAGCCACTGTGCATGGCCCCTTGCCTGGCAAGTTACCCAAACATCCTAGGCCTCAGTTCCCTCATTAATTAGGTGGAGGTGCAACCACATACCCAAGATGCAGGGATATTGTACAAATCAGATGAGAAAATGCACATGAAAACTCTTTATAACCTCTAAATTGCTCTCCAGATATCAAGTGTTTTCTACTATTATAATGAATAGAAAAAAGATGTCATCTGGTATCATCAGAGACTAAAATTATGACCTGCCTCTCTTCTTAATGCTTCTTCATGCTTAGGTAAATCACTGTGTAGATAAATTACTTAATCTTTTGGACCTCAGTAGGCTCTTGAACTATAAAATAGTATGGAGGCAGCTATTCTGAGGGGACGTTTGTAAAAGGAAGCGGAGAAACGGGGCAGAGGCTGGGGAGAGCTATGGGGTCAGGAAGGGCTTTAAGGGGGAAGGAGATAATGTGTTTTGCTGATGAAAGTGATGCAAGAGAGTGGGGAAGGTTGTTTGGGGTGTAGGTAACTCTTACTGGTGCACTTTCTTTCAGTAGGTGAGAGACACAGCATCTGATGTTTGTTCCAGAGAACCAAAGTTTATCCCTGGTGGCAGGTGGGCAGGCAGGGGTAATGGCTGTGAGGCCGATAGGGTGGTAGATGTCATGGGAGTATAGAAGTGATACTGGAAATTTTAGGGAAATAATCATCTTAAAAATCAGAAAGAAATCTATCAACTCCATATGGAAGTTTAAAATAAAGTGACTTTTCTTCATTTAAAATGTTCTTGTAGCCAATAAGATGTCATTGTTGCTTTTGTTTGTTTGGTGTAAAACCAAAACATTATCTTATCTTAAGGGTGCATTTGAGTCCTGTTCATATGTTTTTTTCCAAAATACACATTGGTTCCATGTTTCACTGACTCTTTTCTAAGAAAAAGTGAAAAACTTTGGAAATGTAGTCAGTGTACGTTAGTGCATATTTGATAATGTAGTCAGATAATATAGTCAGTCTTTTTTTTTTTTAAAGAATCATTTTTACTTGCTGTAGAAAAGTCATAAAAGATGGTGGCCTACTAGTATGAGCTCATATCACTTAGTATAAATGAAGAGGCCAAATATCATTAATTCAAATCTACCAAATTGAATCACATGCATTCATTCTGGCTTCCTCAATAAATGGATACCGATGACTTAGATTATGTACATTAACAATAAATCAAAGCAACTCATTTAGTTTAGAGTTGAAAAGGAATTAAATACTTATAACCAACTCTACCAATCGACAGATGAGTCTCGAATACCTTACATGACTTGTCCAAGGGGATGCAGGTGATAGTAGAAGAGATGCATTTAGGACCCAAATTTTCTGACTTTTGCTCTGTGATATGCCTGCTGTAATTTGTTTTTCTTTGTTTAAGAAGCGTGTGCTCTTCTGGAGTGACCAGATACAGACACAATTAAGGACTGAGGCAGTGCACATTAAAATACTCAAGTGTGACATTTGAGGTGGACATGCTGGAAATTTTGAGAAGGAAACTATCCCATTGGTTGGCTTAGTTGAGGGAGAAAATAGTACCAGTAGTAGTAGTAAAAATAACAAGTGGCTAGCATTCAGTAATTATATGCCTAGTACCTAGCACAGTGCCTGTGTGTAATAGCTACTCAATAAATATTTGTAGAATCTAAATTTTAGATCTGAATAGTTGCCAGGCATTGTGCTTTACACACACACTAGCTCACTGAATCCCCAGAGAGCCGCCCTAATAAGGAATGCATAATTATCGTTCCCATTTTACAGATGAGAAAATTGAGGCCCAGAGAAATTAAGTATCTTATCCAGGGCCATTTAAAGCTCATAAGTGGCAGAACTGGAAGTAAAACCTAACTTTGCTGACTCCAGAGTCTGAGTTATGAATCCCTGTGCTATGTGACCATCTCCAGACCTTACTGTGTTAGGTAAGATTTGGGTGAATTGAAAAAGGCACTGAGTGAGAAAAACAGCTTAAACAAAGGCATTAAGTGAAAGTGACCATGGTGTGTCTGTATCAGATATCTGGTAGGGTCAAGTGAAAAGAATTCAGAGAAACCCACCTAGGAGGCTGTCCACCTCCCTATCATTCCTGTGTTTTTTGACTACGAGCATTTCGGTTGTGGTCATTGGTAGCAGCAAAGAAAGATTTCGAGGGAGGTAGTTTCATCTTCTGTCCTTTGTGCGAGCCCCGATGGATCACCATCCGATGAGTGACGATATTTAAAGTATTAAATCTGACATAATGTCACTTTCTAATGCTCAGTTACACAGTCAAAAACCTTCGAATGGAATTTTAAGTGGCTGATCCAAAATCTGCTACATCTAGGTATTCTAATGTAGCCCTGACAACGTTAATTAAGGATAATTTTATTCATCTACCTTATTGAAAGTTCAGGAAGCTCTGGACAGATGGTCAGTTTGTTGCCCTAAATCTCTTGTGTTTATTGAGTCTGTCGGAACTCTGGGAATGTGAGTCTTAATATTGCAATGGGACACTTTTTAGATAAACAATCATTCGCAAAAAGACAAGGGAAATTTTATTTTTTTAATCCCCCATTAGCTGGTTTAGTTTTATGTAATCGCGATCGCACGTTTATTTTCTCTGCAGCTAGGATAAATCCTATTCTCTGAAACAAAACAAATATAGGAGGCAGATTTTAGCACGTTTACAAAAACTGCATTTTTACAAATTTTAAAGACTATTTTGCTATTAGGTCTTAATTTGTTATGAATTAAGGTCTGGTAGTGTCTTGTCTATACCGATGGAGACCTCAGTCTTAGCGAATGTGAAGTCAGTGCACCTTCATGAGCTAGTTCATGCCTTTCTTCGGTCATGCTCCCATCTTTCTGAACGTGGTGATCTTACAAACACTGGAAACGGCAGTAAATAACAGGAAGAAGTGAAATCCTTCAAAGAAAACCTTCTTCCTTTCTTTAACTATTTTAAACATTGTATCATGGTACCAGGAAGAAAGAGACTTCTCCATCTTGCGGGTTTATTTTCCACATTCCATTAATAGATTCTGGAAGGATGAACGGAACATCTGAAAGTATAAAAAAATCGTTTTAGTTGAAAGAACTTCCGATTATTTTACTGTGGTTTAGTTAAAGGAAATTGAAAACTTGAAACAGGGTGAACCACATTTTTATAGGCCAGGAAAAAGTTTTTCTAAATTTCTTAAGATCTTTATAAGGCCTGCCTGCCTTAAAAAGTTTTTTGTAGTAATAAGCTGATTCTAGTGCATTGTCAGTGTGGCCTGTTTTAGTTCACTCACTCATTCATTCATTCATTCATTCACATTCATTCATTAAAAGTATGTATTGAATATCTTAAGTGTGTAAATCAGCATGCTATGTCCCCAGGGGCACGAAGATAAACTAGACAAATCTCTTGCTTTCTGAAAGCCCCTGCTCTAGAAAGGAAGGTAGGGAACGTACCTGAGTATGTGCAGGTAGCAGACAAACAACCTTGGAATTCTTAGAAAGGGAAGGGCTGGGCTGGCATCGGAGTCATCTTCAGAGCAGGGCGGCTGACCTTGGGCTGTGCTGGTCTCAGAGAGAGTGATGCAGTCACCCTCTCCCATGTTCCATTCCCTCCAGCTTCTTTCTGTTATGTGTTTTCTCATTCTACTCTGACCATTCTCATTTTTCTCTGTCTCCTTTCTCAGAGCCTCACCTGCTCACTTACCCCTCAGGGATTCATATCTCATTCATTCTCAATGTCTCACTCTTTGGCCCTCCTTTTTTTGGGGTGTGGGGGGTGTGTGGGGGTCTCTGATTTTGAGAAGATTAATAGGTTGGTGGAAAATATTTCAAAAGCATTTTAAATATAAATTTCCAGTTATAAAAGAAGTTAAGTCTCGAAGATGTAACGTACAGCGTGGCAGCTAGTTAACAATACTGTGTTGCATATTTGACAGTTGCTAAGAGAGTATCTTAAAAGTTCTCATCACAAGGGGAAAAAAATGATAACTGTGCAGTTGACTTCTTATGGTGATCATTTCTCAATATATATATACAAACGTCAAACCATTTGGTTGTACATCTGAAACTAATATAATGTTATATGTCGATTATATCTTGATTTTAAAAATGGCCCCCAAACGAGTGTTTTAAAGCCTGTGCAATGCTGGAGGTTGATCCTTTTGGAGGTTAATTAAGAGTGAAAGTAAAGACGGGGCAGGGAAGAAATGGCTGCTGGAGGGAGGGGCGTGCGGTGGAAGGGGCTGGCACCACCACTCCCCCCTAATCATCTCCCCTTTCTTTTTCTTCGAATTCTTCTCTCTCCTTTTTTCTTTGCCTTTTTCTGGCATGGAGGGTAGATCTCATTGGAGGAGAAGGGGAAGAGAGGCTGGGTTAAGCAGCCTTCCCCCCGGGACCTGGCCTGAGCCAGAAAAAGGCAAAGTCTTCCAGAATATACTTGGGGTGGCCTGGGCCCTTTTTTATGTGCAGCTTTGTGCTAATGGCTCATCTGCATGTTTTCATTTGATCCGCACAGGGAGCCAGGGGTGGGGGAAATGGCATCTACATTTTACATAGAAGGAAAGAGAGGCTCAGAGAGGTGAAGTAACTTGCTAGGGAGCCTGGTCAGGACTGCAAACCCAGGTCTGTCCGACTTGGAAACTCATGCTCTTCCTATTGTGCTACCCTTGCAGGAGCCTTTGGAAACTGCCCGCTGACACCCTGTGTCCCCACCATCACCTCTGCTCCCAGGTGCCCCCTGTCCCCAGTCAGTGGATATATTTCACAGAGAGCAGCAATAGCGATGCTCCCTACGAGCCAGCTTTTTTCTACAGGTTTTGTATACCTGGATTCTTAAGGCCACCCATCTTTCATAACTAGGAACTGAAACACAGAAAGGTTAAATCCCTGCCTATTTATCACAGAGCTGGCCAATAGTAGCCCTTGGATCAGCAAAGTACTGGGGAAGAGGAACAGTGTGGTAGAGGCGAGAGTTTCTCTTCGGGGAGGCAGATCCATTTTGAAAGAGGAACGTGTAGCCCCAGAGCAGTGATGTGCTGGGAAGTGTACCAACCAGCTCTCAGGGCTGGGTCCCTGGTTTATAGCACAGATTCCCTGAGTGCAGCTGTTCTCACTGTGGCGTATTTATTGCACCCTCTCAGTAATGTCACTGAGTGCCACGTTGGTAAGACTTGAATGACTCAGCACTCCAGAATCTGCGGGCTCCAGCACCCACCGAAGCCATCTTTAGTTGGTGGCATGCGTGAAAGATCAAGCTTCCCTACCTACCCCTGCCTACTAACCAGTCTTCAACTTGACAAGTCTCAGACTTAAGCGGCTTTTCCGGAATGATTCGTTGGGGAGGGGAGGATATCTGCTTTGTCGCCGTGAAAGGACTCATCTCGACCCGATGGTCCCCCTTCTACTTTCCTACCACATCCTGCTACCTAATTTCTGTTCCTTCTTCACTCCTTCCCTAATCACTGCCTCCCTTCCCACCGATATCTTATGACTAGTTCTCCAGCGGAGCAGTGTGGCAGGGTTGGGGGAGGAGCAAAGTCTGCAGCCTGCCTCCTAGGTTTAAACCCCAGCTCTCCTTTGTTAGCCGTGTGACCTTGGACAAGTGACTTCACCCCTCTGTGCTTCAGTTTTCTCATCTGTGAAGTGGGAATGATAATTATACCTACCGCCTAGCTAAAGCCCTTGGTGCAGTGGCCTTTTAAGTGTCAGCTCCTATTAGTATTATTTCTTGCTGTGTGGCCGTAGCTGTCCGAGCGGTCCTGCTTCCTCTTCCCTGTCCCCATCTGCTTGATACCCTGAGAAAGCCCCATGACCGTGCCATCATCCCATGCAGCTGCCTCTGAGTAGCCGCGAGGTCACTGCCAGCCTGTCCCCACCCTTCCCAGCCATCTTCGCTCTCCACGCGCCTCTGTTCATTTCCCTTAATGGAAGTAGCAGGCCTTTCGCCTCCATGATAAGGAGAACGTGGAGAGCACGGGCCTCCCAGGGCTGAGGGCTTCTTAGCTGTGCCGTTTTTCTCTCTCAAGTCCGCCTTGGGGCACTGGTGACTTTGTTCTGCCCTGGCTTTTCAGGCCCAATGTGAACACTTCAGTTTTTTTGTGATTTTTTTTTTCTTCTTCTTTTAATAAAACTCCTATTATCACTCATAAAATATATTTTAGGACCACCTTCCAAAAAGCTTAAAGATGTCACTGTCCTTGGCTAAATTGTTTATGTCGACTATGGGGAACTGGCCAGGGCATCTTGGGATCTGGTCCAGTAAGCACCTTCTGCCAGTCCTTCGTAGCCGTTCTGATCACTCTGTCCCAGACCCGGCCCCTAAGAGAAGACTGGAGGAGGTGGAGATGGCTAACCTGTGTTCTTTCTCTAATCTTTGGGTAAATTTTTCCCTCACTAGGGAAACGATTGAGTTTGGTGGCTTCTTACCCAGGACTGAAGGTGAAGAGTTACGCTGGCTACCTCACTGTGAATAAGACTTACAACAGCAACCTGTTCTTCTGGTTCTTCCCGGCACTGGTAAGCCCGTGACAGCACCCTACCTGGACACTGACACCAGCGGACTGTACTGCGCCAGGCTGGAAATGTTAGTCTATAATCAACCTAAGCGATTTTTTTTTTTAATTGTTTAGATTTTTTTCCCCCTAAAAATAAGTGCCAGTCACTGCGTAGTGTTCCTGTTTATGGGCAGGAAACAAATGTTTGAGGGGGAGGTCCAACTTTTAAATTCCTTGCAGCCTTATTCACAACATTAATCCTACCACCTTCTTCCTGCCAGTCATCTTCCTATCTCTTTGTTATTTTGTTCTAAAAATACCCGAGGCAGGGATGGACAGTGGAGGGCAGACAGAGGGAAGGGGTGGGGAGATTTCTGAAATTCACAGGTAATGAATGCATTTCCAAGCACGTATACATTTAGTCGATAGTGGTTTCATATGGCTGCCCTGTCTGTGGATTTTGCTGGGCCAATTAATATTCCGGCACTCACTCCTTTATGCAGCCAGTAGCACTAACTGAGCAGTATTCTGTGGAGACACAGAGGAAAGGGAACTGAACTTAATCTGGGCCTTTGGGGGAGGGATGGGGAAGACTGGTAGTCTAGGAGGGCTTCCTGGAGGAGGAACCCCACACCCTCCCAACTTCATACAGACACAGGTGGTAAACCCTTGTACTTTATTTCAAGCACAACTTCTATTAACTTACTTTAAGGTCACACAGTTCTTCATCACGAACAAATCATTTTAGGCTCATGGGTACTGTTGGGGGTATTGGTAGAAGTGCTGAGATGCATAAACAAATGTTATTCCACCACAGGGTAATTTTCTATTTTTATTTTCCAAATTGGATTTGCCTTAGAAGCCAGAGAAAACAAATGAAAACGCCGTCCCTGTGGAGGGTGGTATTTCTATTTGCATGTGATTTGCATATAGAAGTGCTGCATATGTAATGACCAGATAAATTGCTTAATCCAGGGTAGTTTTCAAATTAAATCGCTTCTGTTGGTACTGTTGGGTTGTATCTTCTTGACCTCTCATTTCTGCTTTCCCAACCATGGCCTCTGATACAGTTCACCACACAGCTATGGGTGGGGGGAAGGCATGAGGAATTCTGGATATCTTTTGGTTGTGCTCATATTAGTCATCTGGCTGTCACCTACTCCGGGGAGCCTTTCTTGGACCCAAATAGGGTTTCTTATTTCTTCCCCAGTGTTACTGTTGAGTGAGGCAAGTGAAGATCCTAGAGCATAAAATTTAAGGAGAGACTCGCTCTCAGGGTAGTCCAAGAGCAAGCTGGACGCCTGACTGTCCTCCAGTCTTGCTGGTACCTCCCACTGGTGAAACTCAGCTGGAAACCATAGGACAAGGGAGTGTGGTCCACAGAGGTCTGCCTTCCAGGGCACAGAGCAGAGAACAGGTCTTCGAGAGCAATCAGGAAAACTTCCAAATAGGCAGCACAACTGTTTTAAGGAGAATTGATATAAATTAAGCCTAGAAACATGACCTAATTCCAACAGGTGGAAATTTTCCTTGTCTTCTTAGAAGTCTCTTAAACGTTACGCCTTTCAGAAACCATTTTTGATATCGCATCTATCAATATTATTGAGTACAGTCATTTATCACGAACTCCTTTGTATTTGTTTTCTATTGCTGCTATCCAAGTTATCACAAACTTAGTGGCTCAAACAACACAAATTTATTATTCCACAGTTCCGTAGATCAGAAGTCTGACACAAGTCTCGCTGGGCTACAATTAAGGTGTTGGCAGGGCCTCAGTCCTGGAGGCTCTAGGGAAGAATCCGTTTCCTTGCTTTTTTGCAATTTTTAGAAGCTTCCTGTTTTCCTTGGTTCAACACCTTCCTCCATTTTCAAGCCCGCTTCAGGGGGTTGAATCTCTCTCACTTCGTGTCACTCTGGCTGACTCCGTAGTCACTTCACTTTCTCTGACTCTTCTGCTTCATTCCTCTGCATCGAAGGGCCCTGTGATTACACAGCGCCCACCCGGATAATCTCCCTATCTGCAGATCAGTTACTAACAAACTTAATTCCATCTGCAAACCTAACTCCCCTTTGCCACCAAACGTCACCTATTCACAGCTTCTGGGGATTCAGATGTGCATATCTTTGGGGGGCCATTATTCTGTGCAAAGTGGAGACTTGAAAAATTTGCCTAGATTAACGATTCTCAGTATGTTCTCTCTCAGTGATTCCCACATTTTATTGTATTTAAGAATGATCTCCAGATTCCCCCAGAGATTCTGACTTGTCAATTGGGAGAGTCCAGCAAACTGTAGAATTCACAGGTGGAACATGCTTGAGAAACCATCATTCCAGCCTATGTGCCACCACTCTGTATTCAGTGTTTCTGGCCCCTAAGTGGCCCACATTCCTTTTGCCAGAAAGAGACACTTAAAATAGGCACACCCAGATGGAGGTGGTGTGCTGCCCCATGCACACACCTGGAATGAGGGCTAGAATGGGGGACCGAGGAGGTGAGTGCGGCCTATGGGGTCAGCTTCCTAATCCTGCTTGAGTGTTCCTTCAGGGCCTCTTGGGGCTCAGCCTCCACTGCACTCTCTGCCCTCCCCACCCTCACCCTCACCCACACCACAACCCACTCCAGCCCGTCCAGAGAAACCTCATTCCTTACTTTCTCTTCTGTGTTGATGGCTGTTTGTGATACTTGTAAGTTCCTCCATGACTTCTGCATATTGAGTCTTCTTTAGTAATGATTCACATAAGTGAAAACAGGAATTAATGGTGAGAAGCGATGAAATGAAAACCAAGACTCAGTGTTGTCTTCCTTGGATTGTTTCTGAGCAGGTGAACCTTTGTCTAGAATGTAGGTGATGCGTTGGGATAATAAAGCTGGCCAGGAGCAGGGGCTTAGGTTCTGCACCCTCCCCTGGTTACCATGCTAAGGTCCGACCCCCCCACCTCATCACTGCATTATACAATCACTGAACTGTTGGGGGTCCTCCCCTTCATTAAATAAAGACTTAGCTGTGCATCTCCTAACTGGGTTATGTTTTGGGGGGACTAATACTGTAGCCCTAGCCAGATTCTAAAATCATCTTAGACATAAACATGAGGTCGCCATGACCGGAAGGAAGATGCTTAAACACAGAGTGTTCTCGTGGAAGAAATAGACTAAGCTTCAAGGGAGAGAGGCAGAGCTGACAGCTGTCACCCTGTGGCAGCCAGGATAGATTGCTCCAAGACCTCCTCACCCTACCTGCTGAGCCAGGTCTCTGAGGCCCCAGAGCAACCATTCCTGCCGAGTCAGTTAGGCTATAAATTATGGAATGGGCCAGTTTGGGTGAAAAAGATAAAGCATGTGAGAAGGAGAAGCAGTGGTCGCTGGGATGAGGGAGAGTCCTTTTCATTTAGCAGAAATATTAGTTCATTGCCCGTCTCAGGGAAGCAGCCGATATTGTCATCAGGAGAGAAATGACCCCTTACAAAAACTGAAGGTGGAAAAAAATAAGAGATCCAGGAAGGACGCCACATTTGTAATATCCTCCGAGTATTTTTTAGGGCTGCTGTTTCTCAAATTAGTTTTGTTTTCCTGTTATTTCTGTGAGACTCCCCTGTTATTGTATACAAATCAGTACATAATGGATTCTAGGACTTGAAATTGGTGTGCAGTGGGGATACAATCTGCAAGAGAAATGAGTAGGCATTTTGCATGGGTTAAAACGTATAATGACGCCAATAAAAATGTAACAATTATGATAGCTATCGTTAATTGAACATTGACTCTGTGCAAAGCACTGTGCATTTTTTAAATTTAATCCTTACAATAACCACATGAGGAAAGAATTATCCTCATTTTATAGATGAAGAGAATTACAGAGATTAAATAATTAGCCCCAAGTTGCCTAACAAGAAATTGTCAGAACTGGAATTTAGCACTATATCTGGGACAGAGAAATCTTTGTTCTTGATCACTGTGTAGTGATCTTGAGAAAACAGCCATGGAAAGCACTAGACTCCAGTCTTTAAAAGTATAGCTCTTGAGTTAGTCGAGCTGGCATAAAATCTTGGCTCCGCTACTTGTGCCAAGTGTGACCTTGGGCACACTTTCTTAACTTCTCTGAGCATTGGCTCCCTTGTTTTAAAATGAGGTTTGAAACACCTACCTGACCATGGTTTTGAGACAAATGAGATAATCTGGGAGAACTCTTAGATTAGTGTCCGATGCATAATAAGCAGAGTTGCCATTGTATTATTTAATTACTATCAAAATCATTATCATGATTAGTTTTCCTATTATTAACATAAATACTGTACAGAACGAAGCCAGTCACAATCTGGGAGGTTAAAGAAGACAGGAACTATGAGATGATTCCAGAAAAGAAGGAGCTGAGCGCCAGTCCGGAATGTGGGTTCACTGCTGCTGGGGAAGGAACTTACACAGTGAAATTGAGATTTTTCACATTTAAGAAGATAAAAAAGGCATGTAGAATATGAATTTTTTAAAATTAAAATCCTTCTCAGTGGAAAAAGACATCCAATATTCGACTTTCCTCTAGGAATATGGTTGGATGCATTTAGCCCAAACCTGCAAATTACTTACCTCAAATGTCATGGAGCCCAAACCTGAGATGTTTAGAGTTAGGCCTAGGCCCCTTCACTCAGGGCTCCCTCTGTTCCTCTGGCCAGAAAGAATGCCTGGGTTTCCTGGAGTCTGAGCACCCACTGACTGAGAAGGGCCAGCATCATACCAAGGAGTCAGCAAGGCTGGGGTAAGACCAGGCATGGGGCACCTGGAGGCAACATTTGAGGTGCTCCCTCCATCTTGAGATCAGGCAGGTACTGACCCTGCTTAATCAGACGCCAGGAAAATCAAGAGAGCGTGGGGTTAGGTTAACATAATCCACAAATCCACAATACAGTGCAAGGGCAGCGAACGCTCTGCTGCTCCCGGGCCAAAGCAGAAAGCATTCTCTGCGAGTGGGCGAGCATGTCCCCAAGCGTATCTGGGAGCCTGCAGGACAGTGTACCCTGGGGATGAAGTCC